TCTACACTTCTCGACGAAGGACTTCGCAAACGGAAACAGAGCTTACCTCGGCTTGAAGCTTCTTGTTCTCCAGCAGAAGTTTGTCGTAGCTCGCCTTGAGGGACTCGTAGTCTCGCTCCAGCTGCTTGGTTTTCCAGCGGGCTCGCCGGTTCTGGAACCACACGGCGACTTGGCGGGGCTGGAGCCCCAGCTCGTGTGCCAGCTGCTTCTTCCTCTCGGGCTCCAGCTTGTTCTCCATCTCAAAGTTGAGCTCCAGGGAGCGCACTTGATCCACGCTCAGCCGCCGCTTCTTCTCCACCGGGTGAACTTCGTGATCGCTCGCCTCCACGTCTCCGCTCTCCTGATCGCTCGAGCCCTCGAAGGTTGCGTAGAGCAGCGCGTCACTACCGCGCAGCCCTGTGGGTGTTCCACAGTTGTTATGATCATCTAAGCCTGTAGAAAAGAACAAGAAAAAACGTAATTTTTTTATTCGATCGAGTATTGCAAACCTTTAAACATACCTGGTGGGATGTTAGACGACCGCGGATAAAAGATGGCGGACATTGAGTTGCTAACGCTCTCGTTCCTCATTGTCGTCACCATGATGCTTGGTGGTGTTGGCGCTGTCGAGCCTTTACTGTTGCTGCTGCTACTGTTGTTGATATTCCAATCCATAGCCACACTTTCCACCACCACCACTGCACCACAGGGTTCTAACAGTAAACACTATTCTCCTTCACAAGAGCTGCATGGTCATGCGAGAGAGAGTTCTAGATGCAAACAAGCTTCTCCTCCTAGAGCAAACTTCCTGCCGCTATGATATCAATGCAAAGCTCTTAGCTACCGTCAAGAAGTGCGAGAGATCATCGCCGTATTGTAGAGCGAGGAATACCATACACTCACGTCGCCGCCGTGTCCAGCCCACAAAAAACTGATGCTGCTGTACTCGACCCAGATCTTGCTCTTCTCCATGATTTCGGGAGTATTTACTGAAAGTGGTGGTGAGCTGCTGCTGCTGGCTTGCTCTTGTTGCTAGCACCTATTCTTCGTCTTCGCCTCCTGCGTCTTCTTCTAAAACAATTCGACCGCGGACTCTTGGACAGCAATCCTAACATGAGAGATTGGTGTGCAAAGCGAGACAGGGACGATTGACGTATACGGGCCGTAAGAACAAAGGAAGAATAAAGGCAAAAGTCTGGAGACCGACTTGCTAGCTCGGGGGGAAGTACCTCACGAAGCAGCAGAGGAGGCGAGCAATGTCCTCGACAACGAAGAAACGAACAGCAGGCACCCTCAGACGCCTCGGTTCGTCTTGTTTGTGTGCGAGCAGCATTATAGATCGGGAAAACGCTCCACGACTCTCTTGACACAAGCAAAGCCAAAATGGTGTTTAGAGGGAGCACGAAGGACCACTAGCGGTGATTATTCGGACACTGCCACTGCCGGGTTCCAAGCCATGAGAAATCTGGAGAGAGGAACACGCAAAGAAAGAAGAACAGAGACAACAACCAGAGCTGTACACGCTCGCTCTTCGCGGACAAAGATTTGTGCTACTCAAGAAGCCCCTCCAGATGATGCTAATTGCATGATCAGCTGCTACCTAGAACCCGAAGAACAGGGTCAAACAATTTATAGCGATTGGAAAGAAAAAAAGAAAGAAAAAAAACCAAGAACAAAGAGATGGGGATGGACCTAACTTTAACACTGGGCTTCAGCCAAACAAGCCACCACAGCAAAGGACGATCTCGAATCGACAACGACAAAGTTTGGAGGGAAACGGAGAGCGATATATCACTCTCAAGCGCACCACACTCAGCAAACCGTGATAACTGACCACCACGCACGGCCACTCCCCAAAATCCAAGACCTCTCTCTCCTAGTAGAGAAACTTAGTGAGACACGGCGAAGAGAGAATTGGGCTCTGATCTTGCTTCCCTTGTGAAGAAGCCGTGTGTGTGTGAGAGAGAGAGAGAGAGAGAGAGTGAGAGAGTGAGAGTGAGAGTGCGCTAATCTTCCGCCCCTCTTCCACAAGCCCTCGTCCACTCCTTTTTATTATGGACAAGGCATAGAAAATGGGCACAGCTCCATTGGATAATGGATTTGCAGTCCGAAAGAGCTTAGATGTAAAAACACCACCAACTTGGAGAAGAGATAGACCCAGTCAACAGTAGTATTTTCTTTAAAAAATTTACATGAAAAGAAAAAACGAAAGCAAAGACATCGCAAGATGCCTCCCCAATATTGCACTGCATTGCTCGCTCTCATTATCAGCTTACAAGTTCCTTATCATCGTATAGCTTGATAGCGGTTTCTCTCTCTCCATCTTTTATTTGTTCTCCTCTCTCTTCGAGGGTCTCTTGCGTGTTTGTGCGTGTTTCAAGCAGTGCAAGAAATATCTTTTCGAGTGTGGTAAAATGGAAAGGGAAAAGAGGGAAAAGACCACCCAAGAACAATGGAGAATTAAAAAGGTGGCGGAGTGTGTGAGTGAGTGAGAGCCCACCGCAAGAGCCAGGTCTCCAGCAGCAGTACAAAAGCTGTTTTGTCTCATGGTGCTACACGACGGGAACAAATGTGTCCTTGGTTCTAGCTTTATGGTGCGCCCCCCATCAGCAATCTTTTGCCCAGCCTCATCCCATCCACCAAGCAAACAACCAAGCCTGCGCTTGTCGCCAAGCGTTTATAGCTGTTCCACTCTTTTTCTCCCACACACAGGAAAACCATTTAGTATCACTGCTTAGCTGATGTTGATCTCTCGGGAACAAACACCGCAAGAACTTACGGGATCGGCATCCAGATTATCCCCAACTTTACTGCTTTCCACGCATGCTGGAGTGTGGAAGAACAACACATCGATCGAGTGGATCGATCGGGATCATCCCGGGTTTTGGGCTGGCCGTGGGGAACAGCACTGTACTATGATATGAGACGCTTACAAGTGTGGATGGATGTCGTGATCATCTTCCAGTGGAGACAAGCCAGCGTCTGGCCAAGTTAGCTCGGGGGTCACTGTCTTTGCAACTCAAGTTTCTCAGTCCAAGGAAAGAGGTGTTTGATTCGTACTGTAGTGCTGTAAGCTCTAGCAGGAGTTTGGAAGTGTGTGTGTACAGTGAGGTGGAAAAAGGGGACGATATCGTCGTCCGGTGGGATTTATGCGGGTCGCTGTTGCAAGTGTTAGAAGCTGCCAAGTTTTGGAAATCTATGTCTAGTCTGGACTCTTATGACCTGTATGTACGGGTGGATTTTTTCCAAGGAACAAAAGCTGTTTCAGCGATGTGTGTGGACTCGGGGAGCTCCAGCTTTTGCTTGCTTGCTACGATTTGGCATGTCTTGGATTGGATGGAGCCCTGGACTCCCAGCAGAATGCGGCCACGCAGATCGAGATTATTTGTTTTCTTTGCATGGGCTGTAATAAGAATCGAGTTCTTTTCGTTGCCCCGTTGATTTCTGCTGGTTATGTCTCGATTTAGGGTGACAAGCTTGTGATTAAACGGAGGTGACGACCATCGTTTCTCGATCTTTCGTTGTTGGTTGTTGATTGACCACGATTCATTTTTTGCGCTGCCAAGAAGGTTCTTCGTACTAGTTCCCATTGGAGACTCCCTCCAAGTTTTCTTTAGTCTTGTGCTTTGGGAACATTTTTTGCATTCATTGCCAGGAGCCAAGTTGCGGGAAGAGAAACTGTATCATTGAAAAGCATATATTGGCACACGATATAATTTTCAAATGCCACGGTCCATTAGCAAAAGAAGTAAAGCCTACCCCCACCCCGCCATTTCGAGTAAAAAAGAAAGTGAGGTTCTTATTCTTCTCGAGGCTTTTGCTGTAATCTCTCACTCACTGCTCACGGGGAAATTGCATCGCATCGCACCCATCAAGCTCCAACGCACACACAGACACACACACACACACACACTATCTCCCAAGTGAACAAAATCTCTGCCTGGAGAGGAAAAAGATCAACCCTCTCGTGCCGAAACTCGAGCTCACAACTTTTCTTTTTCATGATCAAAAGTTTGCTCCCCTAGTTTCTATATAGATCTCTTTTGAACTGTGTATCGTCTTCATCCTGGAGACGATAAAACAAAGATGATTCTCTCATCCCTCGGATAGTTTTCTCGGTTTCTCTTTTTCTAAGCGGGCTGTTTTTTCTAGTGCCACACACAGCCGTGCGTCACCCCATTATCATAAAAGCTTCACTCTCCTGTGGGTTTCTCTTTTGTTTTCTTTCCCAACCCAGCAGAAGCCGAGAGATAAAGGTGGCGAGAAAATAAAGGAGAAATTTCTGGTCAGTGGTGTTGGTGTGGTGGTGGCCCCGTTTTTCGTCTCGCCTGGTGTGTCAGTGCATGCACATTGAGCTTGCTTGTGATGATCCGCTCCTTGGGCTTGCTTGCACGAACATCCCCAATATTATAAAAGTATAGTGTCAAGTTTCTCCTGTGTTTTGCAAGGATCACGTTTGATCTTAAAATGTTGCAAAGTCTGATCGTAACATAGATTACTACTTTGTTGTTTGTGGTGTCGAAGCATCGATCCTTCGCCACTATGTCTTTAGAATGGTAGTTCTTGGTCATTGTCTTGAAACAACAAGCCAATATGTTATAATATTCAAGATAACGAGCGATGTTGGATCATGGAACCAAACGCTGGCTTAGCGGAAGCCATGTCTATATGCTTTGTAAATGCGAGCGGGGAATATCCAAATCGATAGATGTTGCTTCTTCTCCGCCCAAACGTTGCAATCATATATTCCTCAAGCAGGCACTCGGAATCACTGCCAAATCTTAGCAATGAAGAAGATTGGTGATACCATTTTAAATGGGTAGAGCATATGATGCTCTATCTCGACAAGGTCACGTTGAGGCATCTCACCCGTGTCCAAGACTGCTCCGCCACCTTTTTAAATTTGTTCCACGTTAAAGCCGGTTATAAGACTATGATCTTGTGCATATGATTAACAGAAATCTCCCCACGGCCCCACAATCTGGGGGAGGCATCTAAAGGAGATGCCTTTGTTCTCGCACTGAAGGGACTCGTGTATATTCCACGATAATGACCACACTCACACTGTTTTATTCGTCTCATCGACTCTTCAATGATCTTTCTCGAGAGCGGAGCAAAATAATCTCCTCTGTTCTTTCCTTTTCCACCTGTGCAATGTGGTGTTAAGTCACTGCTCCCTCTTCCACGCACCCTTGATCGAGCAAAAGCGAGTGATTTTCTCTCCTCGCGGTTTTGAGAATATGTCAACTCATTGCGCTCGATCACCGTATGGAAATATGGACCGAGTGCTCCAGGTAGCCAAATTCTTTAGCTTGTTCGTAAAATTACGACAGCACAGAGCCATAGGTGGCACGCACTCGCAGCAAGCTCTTCGAGAACCCCTGCCATTGCAAAAGCTCTAGTAGCTAAAGCCTACGACTAACAGGAAAGAAAAGCTTACCACCACCGAGGAATTGCCACTGATGTTATTCCAGGGGTGGAACTTCGTCAGATTCCTCGCGTCGCATCCTTGCAAGGGGACGGTCCGGGACGTCACTACTTGGATCCTCCACTGGCTGCGAAGGAGTAGAGTTAAGAGCTGGGACTAAAGTTTACTAGAGAAACTTACCTTGCTTGGAGGTGTGATAATGTTCTCGATCTCTGAGAACTTGACGTGTGGTTTCTGCCGTACTTTTTTCTCTTTGGTAGCTTCCACAACGTATGTGTCCTTTTGATGTCGTCTCTTTACCACGGCTTTGGGCATAGTCACAACCAAATGACCTGACGTTCTCGACCGCTGTGCGATGCTCTCGGAAGTCTTAACCTGGCTTGATCGAAAGAGAGAAAGAAGTTACGCATTGAGAGAGAGAAGTTTCTACCTCTTCCGGGAGTCGTAGCTGCAGAAGCTTGCCCTTGATCAGCACGCGCACGAGCAGCGGCTGGATATCAATGTCCATTGCGGATGTATCCATGTATCGACCAATAGCTACATCCAACACTAGCTTGGTTCCACATTCACTCTCTGCTAGCTTGAAACTCCAGCTGTGAGTTTGAGATGGAAGAGGCCTTGAGCTAGTGAAATCCAAGGCTTACTTGCCCTCGTTCTTCTGATATATACGGCCTTCCATTGGTAATGGATCAAATCCAGTCCTGCGCTCTGGAACCTTTCTCTGATTCTGATTGTTTACCTGAAAATGCAGGAGTAATGAGATGAGAGACTTGAAATCACACTTTACCTTTCCACTATCCTTTTTCTTTTTCTGCTCAAGCTCGACATACTCCGCTACTCTTGAAGCCGGTGTATATTCACGAACGACGTGACCGTTTTCGTCCCTGTTGGTCATTTTTTAATGAAAATAAAAAGTAAAACTGCGGGGGAACAATCCAAAGTAACTCACACATCTTCGGCAGAAGCGTCACAGTCGACTACATCGTCTTCGTTGCCAAAGACATCCTTTACGAAGGGGTATTCCTACAACTGAGAAAAATGAGATGAAGAAAACATAGCAGAAAGTACACATACTTGCTGGGATCGAATTTTTTCTGATGGTCGAACCTCGATACCATCTAAACGCTGCAACAAAACCATGAGTTTACGAAACAGGACCCCAATGTACCTTCAAGGATGGAAGAGTCGCAATAACATAGCTTCGATAACCAGGGACCTCTTGGCACGGGTTGCCAGTGAGAAACCTTCGAGCGAGACAAGTCAGGTAAAAGAAGCTAATTTTCTGTTTCTTCTTGCAAAAAAGAAGTTACTCACAAGTCTCGGAGGTGAATGTTGGCCCTCAGAGCTGCAACAGAGGGGAGCTCCTTTTTCCCAACAAAGTTGAGAGTCATATCCAGCTTTTCCAGGAATTCGCATTGCTCGAGTCCTTCTACCTGTCGCACAAGCTCGCAAAAAGAGAAAAAGGAAAGGAAGAGAACCGAACCTTCAGAATGTTGTTGACAGCTACATTCAAGTATTGCAGCTGCTTTAGCCGGTGTAAATTGCCTAAAAACAAAAGTCGATCCATGGAGCGACTAAAGCCAAGGGGGAAAGCGTACTTAGCCTGGAGATGAGATTATTTGGAAGATAGAGAATCTTGAGGTTGGGACAAGATGCTCCCAGGCTTCGGTTGATGTCCATGATGCCTTCCTCTTGGAGCACAAGCTCCTGCAAGAGGAGGAGATCGTGTCGCTGGAACAGAATCCAGATCAAGGCCGTGTGTACCTCAAGGCTGTGAAGGATCCCCTCGTTGTGCTCTGCTCGTCGCATGAGCATTTCTTCGTTGATCACTCCCATGCTTGATAAAGAACATAGGAGAGCCCTAACCCTAATCCCACAATTCAAACACGTATTCTAAACCTTTTTACCCTTGCATAACATTAAAGGGCATATACAGGTTAAAGTTTTTTACTCGTCCCATAGATCCTCGACTCTCTTGTATGGAGATGTGTCGTTCACCCAGTTTGTTCCTTTGATCAGCCTCTCCTGTAGAAAAGAGAAAAGTCGGCTTGCTTTGAAAATGCGAGTGACAAACCTGTTGGATTCCAGAAAGCTTTTGGAAATCCTCGTCCGGAATACTCCATCCGAGAATGTCCAGGTTTTCTTTGAGCCGATCGGGATTGGAGCTCTTCGGAAGGACGCTGTGACCCATCTGGATCCCCCAGCGTAGTGCTACTTGCGCTGGTGATTTGCTGAGTTTGTCCGCGATCTCTTTGACGATGGGATGGCCGAGGACTTTCGGACCCCAGTTTCCCAAAGGAGAGTACCCCTGACAATAAGAACAGCATTGAGTTCCACCGGGAAACGAGATCCAATCCAGGACTTACAGAGAGATGGATGGCTTTGGAGGTGCAGTAGTCGTGAAGAGCCTTTTGCTGCCACACCGGATGACATTCAACTTGGTTCACGGCAGGAACGATGGTGGCGTTCGCCAAAAGGTGGTCGATCTTCTTTGACGAGAAGTTGCTCACACCGATTGCACGAACTCGGCCAGTGCGCACAAGCTGCTCCATTTTCTTCCAGGTCTCGTCCAGTTGCAAGGGGACGATTTCAGTTTTGCGAGTGCCATCTTCCTGTTGGTAGTGTTCCTTCACACGAACAGGCCAATGAATCTACACACAAGCATGTCCTCTTGTCACAGACAGAAACAAAGAATCTGGATATCTTACCAAATAAAGGTCAAGATAGTCCAGCTGCAAATCCTGCAGTGTTTGATCGCAAGCCTCTTGGACACGATCGTGATCAGAGTTCCTGAGAAGATAGAAAAAATCTATTTAGAGGACAAAAAAATACGTTTCCAAAGAAAGCGAGAGAACCTGACCACAGCTTGGACGTAATCCACAAATCCCCACGCGTCACTGCACCACTAAGGAAGATCTCTTGCAGCGCCAATCCAATCTACACATGCATGAACGAAGCGAGTAAGAAAGGAGAAGAGGGAAGAACTTTAAGCTGTAGAGACATCTTTCTCGTTGCCATAGACGCTCGCGCAATCGATGTGACGATACCCAGCCTGCGAAGAAGAGCAAACAGTGAGCTAGATAGTGCTACGAAGAGAAAAGAAAGAAATTTGATGCTTACAGCGACAGCGGCCTTCACTGTTGCTCCCGCTCGCCCCTTCTCCTCCTGCGAGTATCCCGGCCACATTCCCAGCCCGATCGCGGGCATGCGCCCGCCGGTGTGGAGCTGGAAATGCGCCATCGATCCGCCATCTCCAGCGCCATCGTCGCCATAGCCCATCCCTCCCAACCTAAAATTTCTCGAGGGGTTTTAGTTGAAGTTTCACTGCTCACGGGTTCTTGAGGCGCCATGTAGGTGGTGGGAGAATGGCGCTTCTATTTGCGCTCAATGGGCGAAAGATCGAGCTCAGCGATGTCGATCCCAGCATGACGCTGCTGGAATTTCTAAGATGCCACACCGATCTCAAGGGCACCAAGCTCGGCTGTGGAGAAGGTAAGTCAAAAACTAGTTTTTTTTTACAAGAGCTTAGATCGATCGATCTGGTAGCTCTCTTTTTTTTCTTTCTCGCTGACGATCGGATCAAACATCCAGGGGGGTGTGGAGCTTGCGTGGTGGTGGCTTCCCGCTACGATGCCTCCACAGACAGCGTGGAGGAAGTTAGCATAAACTCTTGCCTGGCTTTGCTGGGCTCTCTTCATCTCCGCGCCGTGACGACGATCGAGGGCCTGGGAAGCTCCAAAACTCGGCTCCACGCTGTCCAGCGAAGGTTTCTGGGATTTCACGCGTCCCAGTGTGGGTTTTGCACGCCTGGTATGTGCATGTCGCTCTATGGAGGCCTCAAGAACCAGCAAAGAAGGGTCTCTGTGGATGGTGGAAAGTATGAAAGTGGTGCTCTAGAGCAGTCGATCCAGGGGAGTTTATGCCGCTGCACGGGATACAGGCCCATAGTTGACGTGTGCAAGAGCTTTGGAAGCAGTGTAGACGTTGAAGATCTCGGCCTGAACATCTTCTGGAAGGACAGGAAGGATGGTCGAATGGAGCTTTTGCCGTGCTATGATCCGGGTGACGATCCAAAGTTCCCAGAGTTTCTCAAGCAGGAGATCATTCAAAGGCAATCCGCTAACGTTGTCCAAGATTCTAATGGCACTTCTGCTATGATCGAGCACGAGAAGTGGATTTGCGCTACGAGCTTTGGACATGCTTTTGGACTGCTCAAACACTTCCAAACGCGTTCCAAGACGAGCAAGGAGGTGAAGATCGTGGTGGGAAACACCAGCGCTGGAGTGTACAGGGACTGGGATCATAGCGTCTTCATCGATATCAGCAGGATTCCGGAGCTCCATGTCGTAGAAGCAAGGAGCGACGGCATTGAGTTCGGTGCTGCAGTGAGCATCGCAAAGCTCATCGACTTTCTCGACGAAAACTTTAAGAAAGCTGGCAGTGCTATTGCGAAACACTTGAGAAAGGTTGCTTCTCCACACGTTAGAAACGCGGGGAGTGTTGGTGGCAACTTGATCATGGCTCAGAAATTTGGCTTCGATTCGGACATCGCGACGGTGTTTCTGGGATTCGGTGCTACGTTGAAGCTGCTGGTTTCTCCGGATAAGCAAGTCATCCAGAGCATGGAAGAGTTTTTAGAAGGTGGTGGCGGAGTGGATGATTATCCAAGCTCGTTGCTGACAATGATCTTCTTACCACTAAGATCACATGAAGCGGCCGAGTTTAAGACGTACCGAGCATCACCGAGACCTCTGGGAAATGCAGTAGCGTATGCAAACGCTGCGTTTGTCGTTCGCTTCTCTAAGCTTTCGTCGGGCTCTTCTGTCTACAAAGTTGAGAGTTCGAGGCTTGCATTCGGGGCCATTGGTGACAAGCACGCTATTCGTGCTATCCAAGTCGAAGAGTTTCTGAAAGGGAAGATTATCACGGCGGAAGTGCTGTTGGAAGCAATCCAGATGCTCAAGTCGCTGCTGACTCTAGAAACAAACTCAAGGAGGAAATCGGCCTACCGAGCGGCTCTTGCTGTGAGTTTCTTCTTCAAGTTCTTCAAACGAAAACTTGGACAAGGTGGCCACCACAAACAATCGATCGCTCGAGATGGTTCTGTTTGCCAGCAAAGCTTGATTCGAGGCTGCCAGGAACTTCATCAGCGAGACAAGAGACGCGCGCTTGGCCAGCCTTCCGAGAAAACCATGGGAAACTTGCAAGTATCAGGTGACTTCTTCCTCTCGTTTTTGTTTTTCTTAACTTTTCCAGTTTGTTCCTGCCAGGGGAAGCTGTTTACATTGATGACATTGCTTCTCCGAGCAACACTCTCCACGCAGCATTTGTTTGCAGCCAGAAAGCTTACGCGAAGATCAAAGATATCAGCGTGGCTGCCGCAATGGCGTCTCCCGGTGCCGTCTCGTTCATGAGCGTCAAAGACATACCATCAGGTGGAGAAAACGTTGGAATCAAGTCGGACCTCGCCAATGAGATACTCTTTGCCGAGGAGATTGTTGAGTGCGTGGGACAGGCAATAGGAATCATGGTAAGATATTTCACCAGATATCTCATCGGGAAAGCTAAGTTTTTCTTCTTTAAGATTGCCGACACGCCTGCGAATGCGAGAAGAGCTGCAAAACGAGTCCAAGTGACTTACGACACTGAATCTGTGGGAGAGCCGCCAATTCTCACAATCGAAGACGCTGTGGCGAGAGGATCCTTCTTCCAAATCCCAGCGTGGTTCGAAAGCACACTGCAAAAGCAGCACGGTGACATATCCGAGGGCCTCGCAAGGGCCGATCATATCATCAAAGACGCGGAGGTACGTAAAACTTTCTTCGTAGAGACACAAGGTCCAATTTTTTGGAGAACCTTGTAGGTGAGGATGTCCAGCCAGTACTACTTTTACATGGAAACCAACACAGCCTTGGTCGTCCCAGAGGAAGACAATTGCCTGACAGTGTTCAGCGCTTGCCAAGCTCCGGAGCACGTCCAAGCGAGCGTCGCAGCCTGCGTTGGAATTCCCATGCACAACGTAAGAGTCATCACCAAAAGAGTTGGAGGAGCTTTCGGGGGCAAAGCTTCAAAAGCTTGTCTGGTAAGCAGTTTTTCCGTGATACCATCGTCCGAAACATCACCTTGTTTTCGATATGTCCACAGGTGGCCGCTGCCTGTGCTCTCGCGGCGTTTAATCTCCAGCGCCCCGTTCGTCTGTGCCTGGATCGAAGAACCGATATGGTGATGATGGGAGGGCGAGAGCCTTGCAAGGCCGTTTACACAGCCGGCTTCACTTCCGACGGGAGTGTCACAGCTCTCCAAGCAAAGCTCTTCATCCAAGCCGGCTGGTCCATGGACATGTCGTGGCTCTTCACGGGAAACATGCTCCACGCGCTCAAGAAGTTCAACTGGGGAGTTCTCGACGCCGAGTTCGTCATCTGCAAGACCAACATTCCCAGCCGGAGCGCCATGCGAGCGCCCGGAGATGGCCAGGGATCGTTCGTCGCGGACACCATCATCCAGCACGTCGCCACCGAGCTCGGCCTCGACTTCCACATCGTCATGGAACGAAACCTTCACTCCCTCCACACGGCGGAGGCCTTCTACGGGCGGGACTTCATAGGTGGCGGCGAAGGATTCACGCTCCCGACGGTGCTCCGCAGGCTGAAAGATCGAGCAAGCTTCGAGAGCCGGCTGGAGCTCACGAAAGGATTCAACTCCGCCAACTTGTGGAAGAAACGGGGGCTGGATCTCGTCCAGGGAACTTACTTGGTGTTCCTGGTCCCCAAGCCGGCGAGAGCGAGCGTGTTCCTGGATGGATCCGTGGTGGTGGAGGTGGGGGGAGTGGAGCTCGGCCAGGGACTGTGGACGAAAGTCCAGCAGGCAGCGGCATTTGCACTGAGCGAGCTGTTCGGCGACAAAGAACAGGGAGTTCCAGTCTCCAAGATCCGTGTCGTGCAAACGGACTCTATCAGTATGCCCAACGGGAGCTGGACTGCCGGGAGCACTGCGTCCGAGTCGAGCTGCGAGGCCGCGAGGATGTGTTGCGAGGCGCTGGTGGAGAGACTAAAACCCGTGAAGGCGAGCTTGCAAGGGAGTGAAGGAGTTTCCTGGGAATCCATCGTGGCAGCTGTAAGTTCCTTCTTTCTCGATCGTTTTGTTTCGACTATTCTAAGTCGTTCTGCTCTTCGAACAGGCAAAGATGGCGAATGTAGATCTGTCAGCGCAAGAGCTGTATGTTGCTGCCCCGGAGGCTGCGGCCTATGTTACGTTTGGAGCTGCTGCGAGCGAGGTATGGAAGTGAGGTCCATTGCTCAGATCTTCGTCCAAACGTGAGAGATTTCTCGCCAGGTGGAAGTCGATGTTCTAACGGGAGAGGTGGAGATCTTGAGGACGGATATGGTGTACGACTGCGGCAAGAGCATGAATCCAGCAGTAGACATCGGACAAGTAAGCTTCGATCGCCAAAGCTTCCATTTCTTCGTGGTAGAAACCGGCAATGAGCACAGATCGAAGGAGCTTTCGCGCAAGGCCTCGGGTATTTTGTGAGCGAGGAGTGTGTCATGGACGAGCAAGGCCGGCTCTTGACGGATGGAACTTGGACGTACAAGCCCCCGACCGCGGATAATCTCCCCAAGATCCTCAACATCGAGCTCCTCAACAGTCCCGTCCACGAGAAGAGGATACTCTCCTCCAAGAGTAAGAAGTTCTATCTCGGTGCTTTGCCTTGACTCACAGCGGCATTGCTTCTCTGGCCAGCGGCGGGAGAGCCACCGTTTCTTCTGGCGGGATCCGTTCACGCGGCGATCCGGCACGCGGTTATGTCCGCCCGGATGGACGCTGGAAAGAAGGAGTTCTTCCAAATGGATGCCCCCGCGAGCATCGATCGGGTGAGAGCTTGGTGTGGCCTGGTCAACGTCGAGGACTACTTGGTTGCAAGACCATCGACTGCCCAGTAGCTGCACTGCGATGATCTTTCTTTAGGCACGGAAAGTCGAGGAGTCTAGAGCTTGCTTTGATGCTATGCCGGCTAGTGACGTAGTTACGTGGAACGCTACGTTTTGCAGCTTATGCCCAAAAAGGGGCATCTTCTAAAGGTGGTAGAGGTGTTGGAAACAGTGCCGGTATGGAGCTCGACTGGCTGAAATTTTCTTCTCGCCGCTTGCACGCAAGAATCGGAGTTTGATCAACCGCACGAATTACTACTCCAAGCTGTGGACCTTGTAGCCTGGGATTCCATGGTTGCTGTGAATGCCTTTGTGGGGCATCTGGAAGCGAGGTGTGCGATTCCTCGAAATATATCCATTATATTTATGACTCTCGGCTTTTCCCGATAACTGTAAGTGATTCTTCTCTCTTTTGTTTCTCATCTAGCTATTAGTGTCGCTGACCAGCTCCAAATGGAGCGAGACGTAAGTCGGTCCCTTTCACGTCGATATCCTGCTCAAGAAATCTCTCCGGGTTGAATCTCTCAGGCTCGGACCAGATGGATGGATCATGAATGATGACCACATGTTCACCATGGCCGTGGTCCCTGCAGGGACCACGGCCAGCCAAGCTTACGTCGTGAATCGCCAAACGAGCCCAAGAGAGCAAGGGACCCGGAGGATGCATCCTCAAAGTCTCCTTCTACGCCTGTTGAGGTCAGACTTGGCAACTCCAGCGTTTCCAACCACGCTAGTGATCTCATTCCGCAACTTCTTTTGGATTTCAGGATGGATGACGAGCTCTGCGAGAATCCATTTGGTGAGGAGAGCGACTCTCGGAAAATCATCTCCTGTGAAAATTTACCCAAAGAACTGCGATCATGTCAGCATCGTCGAGTTTGTCCTCGCCATCCAAGGAGAGCTAACGAAGTCTGGCTGCACAGCTTTGCTACCCTGCTACCGATGGACAAAGCTCGTCACACCCGAAGGTTGGAAGATGTCCTGGGGATCGACTGCCTTGACAGCAGGCATGATCGGCCCAGTTGAACGCACCAAGCAGCTCGAAACCTTCCTTCACCATCTTAGAGCGCTCAGCAGCATCCTTGGAGCCATCCTCGAATCTCCTACCGAACACCGTCTGCATGATATTGTTGAGAGAAGCTCGCTGGAGGAAGTTCCGAACTCGGACAAGGCTGTGGTTGTCTGTTGCAAAGGTACGCATCATCCTGCTTGTCTCCTGACACGATGGTTCGTGAGCAGAGAAGAGAGAGCTGGACGCAATCCTTCGCAAGTTACGCCGTAATCTCCATAGGGAGCGAAGCCGATTGCTCGTCCAAACGGAAGCTGCTGAGCCGACTGCTTGAGAGGTCAGTCCGCAAACTCGGAGCTGTTGAGCAGCTCTCGTGCCACTTCGATGATCATCCTCGTGTTACCCAGGCTGAAGGCCTCTCGGCGAGCTTACTCCAAGCACTGGCCATCCTCGGGTCCCCGGATCGTCTGCTTCTCAGCGTTCTCCCCCATGCATTCCCGCCGGGAACTAGCCAAGGAGCGAGGACCGCCTAGACTGCTGCGCACGGCCACAGCAGCAGCAACGAATCTCCATGCATGATCGGTGAAATGCCGGGCGAAGAAAGGCAGAGTGAACCTTTGGATCTAATCCACAAAACGACTCCATGATCGAGGCAAGCAAGGGAAGCTTGAGACACTTTTTGGTTTTGGAGTCGAGCTTGGGTTTTATATATCCTGAGCTGCATGCCTGGAAAAACTATTGGGGAAGTACACTGTTTACAAGTTTGCTTGTTGGTTACATTGCGCCCTCGAACGACTTTTTCGACAAAGCCGTGTTCTTATTTTCTCTTTTTTTCTTGTTTCCAGATCGTTTTCAGTGCAGGCACCGTCCTTGCATCAGCAGCTGAATTGCATTGTTGACATTTTTCAAAGAGTACGTCACGAACTCAACCTTGATCTCCTGTACCTAGAACAAGGAAACAGCATTTTTATACCAGTACCTTGCGAATGTACTTCTCTACGAGTTCATGGAGCTGCGATGGTTTGTATCCTCCAAGTATGGTTCCTTTCAAGGCGTGGCTGAAGAGCAACTTTACCGGATCCGTGTCGATAGTTCCTGGTCCGCTTGGAACTCCGGCAACGATGGTTACTCCTCAAGCCTGGTAATATTCACATCAGAAACTCGGAGGATTCACAGACGTGTGAGTGCTCTGGAATGCCACTTGCATCAATGCAACGCTTCCAATGCACTCGAAGCTGTAGTTTACTCCACCTTGGCTGAGTTCCACTATCACCTGCGAGCCAGCACACAATGACGAAGAACTCATGAATTTTGTCGTGATCACGCGGATTGAGGAAGTCTGTGATACCAAACAGCTTGCCTTTGAGTCCAAACACAAGTAAGCTTTCTTCTTTGATTCTATTATCTGAAACAAGCACTCACCCTAGCTCGAAATTTTTCAGAGTTGATATTTACTCTAATAAGCCTGGAAGCACCGGACAATTTGGCCGCTTGCGCTATCTCCATTGACACTCTGACTCGAGTTGCTAGAACACGAGAACTCACAGCCACTCCCACTGTGCCGAGCTCAAAGATCGGAATTGGAGGAGCCGTGATTTAGGAGACAGTTACAATTGATGTGGCACATGTGGAAATGCAATTAAGTAGGCCACTCTAATATATAAGTTAAAGCTCCACAAAGTTTTTGGATGGATCATGACTTGAATCGAGAAAAGTACCCGGCAATTTAAAAGACAAACTTTGTGAAGGGGAACTTGTTTGGGGAGCAGCTTTTGTTGACAAAGTACCGAAGTTCCCAGACGCTCCCTTGCTTGAACCGGGTGTCATCTCCAGCTGGTAAGGGATACTCCCGCCCGCCTGGAAGTCACCGTGATACTGAAGGACACGAAGTCCTGCATGGATTTCACGAACTTTCCCGATGATGAACCTCAAGAGCTTGGAGACACTGTAAAGTATGGCACATTGTAAAGTTTGGTTTTTAGCTGTACTATGGAACTGACACTCAACATGGACCTGTGGAGGAGAACCTCCAGCTATGCTCAAGAAGTGCGTCGAAGTCATGGATTCTTTCCTTGTTCTTAATTTTTTCCCATGGGCAAGGAGGTGATCAGATGGAACGTCGAGGTATGAAGCTTGTGGTATGGAGGTGATCAGTTTTGTCGCCTACTTCCATGATAACTTATAGGCGGGAGTAGAGGAGGTACGTGAAGCGAAGGACGTGCTTGAGGTGAAAGTCTTCATGTCCTCTTTGCATTGCTTCCTAGGTGAAGATTATCTTACATGCTCATATCCGGAGAAGAGCTGCGTGGTTATGTTTGCTAGCATGTTGGTGAAGTGAGATCCTTGTGAGAGAAGCATGAGTGTGCGACTAGTGTTTGTGATCGATGCCATGGAGCATGAATGCTACTATATATCTAGGTCAATTCAACACTAAACAGTCTCAAACAAAAACATACCAACTCACAAAGTCTGCCACGGTGAAAATGTCTGTATCCCAAGGTGAAAGCCTTAAGAGAAAATATCTGGTCTTTGCTCAATCACCTCTGTCATCACCTTGTCATATTCACGCTTGAGAAATTCCTTGAAACCATTGATGACAGAGGTGATTGCATGGGAAGAAAGAAATAAAGAAGATCGTTAGTAACAACACAATAAGGTTAACGACAATCACACCACACCTTTAAACTTAGAAAGTTCCTCCTCTGACCTGGAAATCAGAGGACCTGGGGCAAAGAGGATGGGGAATCCATCCCCACAGGGGCTGAGCTCGGGACAATGGCATGGGACGAGTGTTGGGCTATATGGCGTGCTAGGGAGGCACGGAACCAAAACCACTTCGATGGGAGACCAGCATGCATTTCAGCAGTGATCTCCTGTTGGAAGATGTCGCTAGTGGCAATTCGTCTTCAGCACGCTCTGCTCAAGGAACGGGGCAAACCTGAAAGGATAAAGATGGCAGCACAAGTGCTACGGGACAGACGGCAGTGGTATCCACCAGATTGAGTTCCAGGCAGCCAGGAGGGGAGATGTGGAACTGGACAAGGCCCAGAGAAGATGGCCACTCCTGGGAACTTGCATCAAACAGTTTAAACTAACGGTCATTGCCTGGAGGGGGGAGTACACATTTGGGTACTGCTTCCGAGCAGGAATCTGGGAAGCAATAAACGAACGGCATTCTTGTGCTTGCGAAATCCTTCTTCTGCGCGATCGAGGATCCCAAACACCATACTTGCGCTCGGTCCAGCATTCGTTTTCCAGCCATGCCCTGGCTCCACCGGATTGTTCCTTGGCCTTTCTCAAGAGTTTCTGCTTCTCTTGGGAAGGGTCTTAAGACTAACTTGATAGCCCCGCTGGTACATGAGACGCTCTTTTTTCCTTCGTTCCGCTTCTACATTCCTCAGGTTGCCCAGCTTCTTAAGAATGTCGATTTCATCCTGTTCAGGTTGGTAAGCACTGGCTCAGCTCAGCTCATGCATCGGGGATG